GACTCTTTCGATGTCCAACTCTCTCAAGCCGCCGTTGGTGTAAGACGTAACAAAGGAACGAATCGCATCGACCCTCTCTCGCGGAATGCGGTTCATTCTGTCGTCGTTCCAGAGGCCGCCATCCACTGTGAGGTGCTCGCAGACGGCGCCAAAGACGCGGCCCATCATGGCCATGGCGCGGGGGTGCGCGTCCATCACGACAAGGTCTTCCGAGTCCTCAATTCTCCTCGCGTGTTTACCGAGAATTCGAATGCGGCGCAGCCTCGAGTACGTGCATAAACTGATCGCACGCCGCGCCGCCCCACCACCAGCGACCGACGCGGCACGCAGGCTCAAGAAGCCGGCCTTGTCAGTCCACCACGCGCAGAGTCCGAGCGCGTCGTCGGGTAGACGAGAGGCGGAGCCCCCCATAGCTGCTGCCACTGGAGCGTCGCGCCTGCCCCTCTACCAGAGGTTGCCACCGCGCGGGTCGCCGTGATGTAGTCGCGGCGATGCAGCCCGTCTAACCCGTCACCGACAGCGGCCAGCAACCATGCCGCATGGGTTGGGCCAGAATTGAAGATCGGTTGCCTCGGTCATTGAAGTGTTTGCGATGGTCAAATAATGTGTCATCTCGAGCTGCTCCGCTACGTCGGCGTGGTGCTGCTCCTCGGAACGTGCCGACGCTGCGACTCTGCGTCCGTGGATAAAAACCTGCCGCGCTTCGAGCACCGGAGAGACCGCCCCACCACATTCAGCGGGCGCTATTGTTCCGGCGACCGCAAGTGCGACGCGACGAGCGGCCACTGCTGGGCCTCGAGTGACTGCGACGAGCGAAATGGGACGCGACGAGCGCCGTGCGTCGGCTTCCACGCGCAGCACAAGTCCGCGGGCCTCACCTTCAACCGGGCGCTCCAGGGCCTCGACGACGCGATCAAATGGGCGCACCGCGGCGTCCCGCGGCCGTGGCTGCGGGGCTGGCCGGCGCGGACCGCGCGGAAGAAGAAGCTCCCGGGCCTCGTGCAGAACTGCGACGAAATGGAGAAGCAATGCTTCGACTACGAGACGAAGACCTGCCCGTGCGTCGCCGCGGCAGGAGCGGAGCTCGCCGGCGCCGGCGCGCCGCGGGTCGTGCTCAACGGGCTCGCGCCGACCGTCGCCGGCGCGCCCGGCTGGCGCCGGACGGACGGGTGCTTCTGGTTCACGACCTTCCGCGACCCGACGGCGCGGATGGTCTCCGCGATGTTCTATTGCCGGAAGCAGAGCGCGGACCCACTCTGCGGCGGGAAGAGCGCCGCCTGGTTCGAGAGCGCCACGGCCGCGCAGATGGCCAAGCTCTGGGGAAATTACGGGCTGACGAACCTGCTGCTGAGCGCGCCGCTCCGGCCCGACGTTCGCTACGGCAACGCGAGCAAAACGCGCGTCGGCGATCGCGCGTGGCAGCGGTGGCGCGGCGACCTCCGCGGCGGCGACGACCCGTCGACGGCGGCGGGCGCGCAGAACGTCGCGCTCGTCGTCGGCGCGCTGCCGGCGCTCTACGACGCGCTCGTGATCGTCGAGCGCATGGACGCGTCGCTCGACGTCCTGGACTGCGTCCTGCCGCTGAGCGGCGGCAAGACCTGGAAGGCGTTGACGACGACGACGCGGGCCTCGCACGGGAGCGAGACGTACGCCGCGGACGAGCGGCGCGCGGCGGCGGCCGCGCGGCGCGATCCGGACGTGGTCCGCGCGCTCGCCGGCGACCGGCGGATCTACGACGCCGCGCTCGCCCGCTTCGACGAGATACGACTCAAACTCGCGCCGCGATGCCCCCGACTCGCATCGGCGTCGTCGCCGCCGGCCGCGACGAGCGCGACGACGTCGGCGGCGGCCGACCCCCCCCAGACACTTCTCGAACGCTCCCAACGCGCGAAGCGGTCGACGGACGTCAGCGGGCGGACGGCCGCGGTCGTCGTCGTCGGCGAGGCGTTCCGCCGACATCGGGAGCGACCCGTCGTCGAGTACAAGGACCCGGACGCGAAGACGGGCTGCGTCGACTCGTCCGAGGCGACGTTCAACCAGCTCGTGGCCCTCGCGTCCGTCCTCGCGAAGGTCGTCGGTCCCCTCGCCCGCGCGGGCTACGACGTCGCCGTGCTCGCCATGCTCTACGAGGACTGCGAGCTCAACCATCTCCTGAAGGCGGCGCTCGAGCGCTCGAAGGCGCGCGTCTCCTACCTTTCCCAGGCGCATCCTCGCTACGAGAGCAGCAACGAGGCGAACAAGAAGATCATCGTCCCGAGCGTCCGCGCCGCGGAGGCCGCCTTCGACGCGGACCTCTTCGTCGTCGTCCGCTGGGACGTCACGTGGCAGTCGGACCTGCCGCTGCCGAAAGCGGCGGAAACGCGCTTCGTCAAGAACCCGTGGGCCCACGAAACGCCCAAGTCGAAGCGGGCCCACAACCGCGTGGCCGACGCGTACGCGGAACAGGTCTTCCTCTTCGACCGCCTCGCGGCGAAGGACGTGCTCGAGGAGATCGAGTCGACGGCGGGCCAGGGACTGCACGCGTTCCCCCCCAACGTGAAGAAGCGCCGCGGCATCGCCGCGTCGTCCCTCTGGCCCCAGTTCGACTTCAAGCTCCGCGGCGAAAGCTCCCAGGACGCGACGTTCCGCCGCGATCGACCGTACGTGGACTGCGCCATGGGCGTTCCCGAGGGGACGACGACGGCGACGGCGTACCCGGCGTGCGCGCCCGCGGGCGTCGACGCCCGCGCCGCGACCCGGGACGTCCTCGCCGCCCTGTTCCCTCCCGTAACGGCACGCTAGAGAAGGACCGAAGCTACGTCTAGCTGGACGAGCGGCACAAGTAGCAGCACCGTGACGGGCCAACGTTGAAGTTGGGTGCATGTTTCACGGTTGAAAATAATAATTCGACGATGAGCTCGAGCCGGGCTGCACTGCTTGCGCTGGTGCTGTCATCGGCGTCGGCGGATGATTGTTCCAGTTGGTCGTTCAACGCCGCGGCCTATGCGAACACGATGACGCTGACGGCGCTCGTGGAGGTCGACTGCGTGGAACAGACGGCAGGAGTTTTGATGGCCGAGATCGACGGCGACATCCACGCCCTCGAGGACGAGCCCAGCGAGGTGCCATTCGGCGACTACGCTGGCACGTACCAATACGCAGCCATGGTCTACAACGATGATTCTGGCGCGGCGATCACCTACTTTTTCTGCGCCGACAGCGGAGAAATATATTCGGCGACGAGCGTCACGGCGACGGTGGACGACGACGAAGACGCGAACGTGTTTACCGCGAACGGGAGCCCCGGCTCGGCGACGAGCCCGATCATCATCTCCTTCTTCAACGCGGGCCAGGGCGGCAGCTGCGCGCCGACGGCCGCGCCGACAAATTCCCCCGCGCCGACGGCCGCTCCCACGGGCGCGCCCACCGGCGCGCCCACGGGCGCGCCGTCCGCCGCTCCGACTGGCACGCCATCCGCCTTCCCCAGCGAACTGCCCACGCTGGAGCCGACCTACGTCTCCAGCGAACTGCCCACGCTGGAGCCGACGCCGAGTCCCACGTCGGAGCCCACGACTGCGCCCACGGGGGCGCCCACGACCGCGCCCACGACCGCTCCAACGACCGCTCCAACGACCGCTCCGACGACCGCTCCGACCGCTGCGCCTACATCCGCGCCAACGGTCGCGCCGACGGCCGCGCCGACGGCCGCGCCGACGGCCGCGCCGAGCACGGCACGCCCAATCCCCGCGCCGACGTCGCGGCACGACGAGGACGAATGCGCGGACTCGACGAGCTGGCACTACAAAAAAAAGAGCAAAAACAACTGCGAGTCCTACGTGTCCAAGAAAAGCAAAAATTGCAAGAAGAAGGACGACTTCAAGGTCAAGGCTGAGGCCGCTTGCCCCCTCACGTGCGGAACCTGCGAGCTGCCCGCGCCCGCGCCGACGCCATTTCCGACGGACGGCGAGTGCTTCGACAGCGCGTCCTGGTACTGGAAAAAATCCAAGTACGACTGTGAGTACATCGCAAAGAAGTCGAAGCGGTGCAAGAGCAAGTACGCGGACGAGCACGACGTCTCGAGCAGCGACGCCTGCCCCGTCGCGTGCGGCGAGTGCGAAGCGGCGTGCGCCGACTCGACGAGCTGGTACTGGAAGAAGTCGAAGTACGACTGCGAGTACGTCGCGAAGAAGTCGAAGCGGTGCAAGAGCAAGTACACCGACGAGAGCGACGTGCCGAGCGCCGGAGCCTGTCCCGTCGCGTGCGGGACGTGCTAGCGAGTCGGGCGTCCCCGCCGCGGCCGAGGACGCGTGTCCATGCGCTTGCTAGGGCGTGGGGCGCCGCGTATGTGTAAAATGTTGTGTTCTTATTCGGACAGCAGGCGCGCCGCGCGCCGCGGGCACTCGAGCATGGGACCGAGAGCACTCCGCAACCACGAGCTAGCGCTCAGAATTCATTCAAGGTTGACTTCAATGTTGTGTCGCTCGCCTCGTTAACATCGCCGCGGCTCGATCTGTGGCTTGTTTAGTGCTGCAAACTCGCTGCCGCTGCTCGCGCCGACCGCGCAAAATCGCCGTGGCAACGACGCGCCGCATCGCATCTGGCAACGACGCGCCGCATCGCTGAAAGCAGCAACCGCTGCACAGAGACGATGCGCCGCCTCGCCCTGCTCGCCCTGCTCACCACCTGCGCCGCCTTCCAGGCGCCCCGCACCGCCACGCGCGCGCTCAAACTGCGCGCCGGCGAGGAGCCGAAGGAGCTCGAGGTCGCATCGGAGATCCCGGAGGTGAACTCGGGCGCGGAAGCCGTCGAGCTGCTCTTCAAAGATCCGAAGGGCTACAAGGCCGCGCGCGACGAGTACGATCGCAAGATGGCCGCGGACATCGCCGAGGAGGGCGGCGTCGACCGCGGCTTCTTCATCCAGGCCGCGGCCGTGTGCGCGGGGAGCTTCGCGCTCGGCATCTCGACGCGCCAGGGGCCGCCGCCCGCGCCCAAGTAAGGCAAAGACGGGAGGTTAGGTCCGCTCAGGAGAGGCTCGTGAAGGCGCCGCGGAGGCGGTCGAGGGCGAGGGCCGTGTCCTTGACCTCGCAGGCGGCGATGGCGAACTTGCAGTACTCGATCGCGTCGTCGAACTGCGCCTTCGTGGGCACCTTGCCCGGGTGCTGCACGGGCGGCGGCGCGAAGTTCAGCGGCGCCGCGGGCGGCGGCGGCGAGTAGGCGCGCGGCGGCGGCGGCGCGGCGGCCGGCGGCGGCGCCGCGGGCGGCGGCGCGTAGGCGTCGTACGCGGGCGGCGGCGGCGCGGCGAACGCGGGCGGCGGCGGCGCGGCCGGCGGCGCGGCCGGCGCCGCGGGGATGGCGTCGTGGGCCGCGGGGATGTCCGGCAGCTCCGGCTCGTCGCCGGGCCCGCCGGGCGCGACCTCGCGGCCCTCCTTGATGGCCTTGAGGATTTCGGTCGCTTTCCACTTCGCGTAGCGCGTCTTCTCCTCGACCTCCTCGCCGCGCTCGCCGAACTGCTTGAGGGCGTCGAAGAAGACGGACGCCGCGTAGAAGGTGCGCGCCGTGTTCTTCGTCGCCGCGCGCGCGCGGTCCTCGGCGTCGGCCCGCGCGAAGACGTCGCTCGCGAACTGGAAGACGATCTGCTCGCCGTCCTCGCGGCTCACGTCGCCCAGCGCCTTCTTCTCGTGCTCCAGCGCGTCCATGAGGCCGAGCAGGAACGCCGTCGCGGCCTCGGCGTCGGCCGCGCGGTCGCGGAGCGCGATGCCCAGCTCCATGGCGTACTGGCGGCAGTGGTAGGCCACGACCTTGGCGTTGGGGTCGCTCGCGCGGTCCAGCTCCTCGGCCCGTTGCAGGAAGCTCTTGCAGGCCTTCATGTCCGCCGGGACCGACGACGACAGCGCCATGGCTGGCGCTCACGGGGTCCTGGGAGCTGCGCGGCGACGTCGAGGCGCGTCGAGGCGCGCGGCGTGTGCTCGGAGAGCGTCGCGGCGGTCGAGGCGCGCGGCGTGTGCTCGGAGAGCGTCTCGCAGTTTTTGTGGCAGAAAGCATGGGCGCCTCATTTGGACCTCGGAAACGCGGCGCCTGGCTGCCCTTGCTCGCCGCGCTCGCCGTCGCGAGCGCCGCCAGCACCCACAGCAACGATGCGACCCTCCGCGCAAACGACGGCTTCCGCGCCGCCGACGAGATCCGCTCCCTCCCCGGCTGGTCCCAGGCCTTGCCATCGAAGCAGTACTCTGGCTCCATCGCGCTCGCCGACGGGTCGGGCATCCGCTACTGGCTCGTGGTCGGCGAGGGCGACTGGGAGCGCAAGCCGCTCGTGCTCTGGGTCCAGGGCGGCCCCGGCGGGAGCAGCCTCGAGGGCATGTGGACCGAGAACATGGGCCCGTTCGCGGTCGCGGCGGACGGCGCGCTCGAGCGGTCGGCGTCGGGCGGCTGGTCGACGGAGGCGACGATGCTCTTCTGGGAGATGCCCGCGGGCGTCGGGTTCAGCACGTGCGCCGCGCGGGGCTGCCCGACGTACGACGACACGAAGTTCGAGGCGCAGGCGACGGAGTTCTTCTGCGAGTTCTTCGCCGCGTTCCCCGCGCTGGCGCCGCTCGACTTCTTCATGACCGGCGAGAGCTACGGCGGCGTCTACGTCCCCCTCGCGGCCCTGGGCTTCGTCGAAGCCGGCTGCGCCGCCGCCGCGCCCAGACTCGTCGGCGCGATGATCGGCAACGGCTGCACGGGCACGGCCATCGGCCCCTGCGGGCCGGACCGCGCGGCCAACACCTTCGACCAGCTCGCGGACCGGGCCATGGTCGCGCCGGCGACGGCGGAGCGCGTGCGCGGCGCCTGCCCGGAGGGCTTCCTCGGGGCCGACGACGCCTGCGAGCGGGCCCTGCGCGCCGCGTCGGCCGAGGCCGGCCGCTACGACACCTACGACGTCATGGACGGCTGCGCCCAGAACATGACGCTCGTGAAGTTCGTCTGCGACGAGACGCCGAACGCGTCCTGGGCCTGCGCCTTCGGCGACGGCCGCGCGGCGAAGCGCCTGGCCTCGGGCGCGGACTGCGGCGTTGGCGCGCGGACCGCGGCCTACCTCTCGCGCGCAGACGTCCAGGACGCGATCCACGTGCCGCGCGTCGCGGGGAAGCCCGTCGTCTGGGGCGCGCGCGACATCCACTACACGCGCACGGCCGCGGATCTTCTCACGCCGTCGCGGCGGTCCTACCCGCAGCTCGTCGAGAAGCTCGACCGCGTCTTGATCTACTCCGGCGACGCGGACGGACAGGTGCCCTGGCGCGGCACGGAGGCGTGGACGCGGGGCCTCGGCTACGCGACGGCGCGCCCCTGGCGGCCGTGGGCGCTCCCCACGGGCGAGGTCGCCGGCAGCGTCGTCGCCTACGAGCGCAATTTTACCTTCGCGACGGTGCGCAACGCGGGCCACATGGTGCCCACGTACAAGCCCGACGCGGCCCTCGCGCTCCTCCGGCGCTTCCTCCGGGGCCACGAGCTTTAAAATCTACTAGATCCCGAGGGGCTGGCCCTTGACGAATTTCGTGATCATGTCCAGCGCGCGAGCCGGCTGGTCGCCAGGAACCATGTGTCCCGCGCCGCGGACGACGACCTGCGTAAAATTGCCGACGACGCGCGCGTAGCCGGCCAAATCCGGGCCCGCCTTCGTCGCGACGTGCCACGTCTTCTTCGTCGCGTCCAAAAACGCCTGCTGTCCCGACCACTTGATGCCCCGGAGCGCCTGCTCCGTGAGCGGCGCGCCCAAAATGATGTCGTAGGCGCCGGAGTAGATCAGCACCTTGTAGTTCTCGAGGAGCACCTGGAGCTTGTTGACGACGCCGCGCATCCAATCGCCGAGGAGCTGGTTCTCGACCGTCTGGTTCAGCACGGCGTAGGGCACGTCGCCGACGTTCATGGCGTCGCGGCCCACCGTCGTGTTCAGCCAGTCGATGAAGTAGTTCGTCGTGAGCGACGACCCGTCGGGGCCCTGGTTCAGGTTGAAGTAGTTGCTGCCCATGCCCGTGACGTTCGCGTAGTACGTCGCGTACGGATAGATGTCGCCGTTGAGCATCTCGTCGAAGACGTGGAACGCGTCGACGAGCTCGTGCGCGTCCATGTGCTCCCGCCACTTGGCCTCGTAGGCGTCGAAGACCTGCTTCTCCGCGAGCGTGACCATGCCGCTGTAGTAGAGCAGCTCGCCGAAGTTGTAGAACTGGCCCGACGGGTCGAAGGCGCCGTCGCCGATGGCGATGCCCTTCAGGTTGATCGGCGCCGCGGCGTTCTCCAGATTCGCCCCGTGGATCGCGTAGGCGCACGCCGGCACGTACTTCCCCGCGTAGGACTCGCCGGTGACGTAGAAGTCGTTGGTCCGCAGGTCCGGGAAGAGGGCGAAGAACTGCGTCAGGGCCTCGAGGAGCGCCGCGCCGACCATGTCCTCGTCCGTCGCCATGGCGGCCAGGTCGTTCGTGAACGAGAAGCCCGTGCCGAGCGGGTTGTCGAGCACGAGGAGGTGGTGGTCCTCGTTCCAGTGGATGTCGCGGCCGATGACCTCCATCTTCGCGTCGATGTCGAAGGGCCCGATCTCCGTGAAGAGGCCGAAGAGCGACGACGCGCCGGGCCCGCCCTGGAGCCAGAGCAGGATCGGCGCGTCCGCCTGGCCGTTGCGCGCGGGCGAGTAGACGAAGTAGGTGTTCGAGAACGCCTTGCTGTCGAGGGTGAGGAACCCCGCATGGATGGGGAAGTCGCCGACCTTGGAGGCCGTGAGCGCCTGGGCCTCCGTGTAGCGCTCGGGCAGGTAGGGCGTCACGAAGACCGCCTCCTTCGTGCCGTTGCCGTAGACCGTCTTCGGCAGGTGTTTGAAGCGCTGGTTCAGCGCTGTAATGCCGAGGACGCTGCAGGCGAGGAGGGAGAGCTGCATCGCGGTCTCGTTCTTGCAGGCGACGGCGCGCGAGCACGACTTGGAGCCAATCGCTGCCCAGAATTGCTACACTCAAAAAGTCAACACCTCTGCCTTGCAGAGAAACGCCCAGCTCGGCCCGGGGCAGCATCGGCCGCTACACGCGAAAGAATTGCGACAAATCCACCTCGGCCTCTCGCCCCGGCCCTCGTCGGCGTACCTTCTGCGCGGCAGCGGTGATGCGGCGCGGCGGCCTCCTCCTCTGCTCGGCGCTTGCCGTCCGCGCCTACTACTACGACGACGACGAGAGCGACGACTGGGGCTGCGACGCCGACGACCGCGTCACCTACAACGACGACTGCAACGAGTGCACCTGCGAGTGCGGCGTGACGCGCGTCGCGGAGGACATGGACGACGCCGACGTCCTCGGCTACATCGACGGCTCCTGGCGCGGCGGGCAGCGTCTCCTGCTTTTAACCTGCGCAAACCTTCCCGACGTAGCGCGCACGGCTGGATCTACAGCTGCGACCGGGGCATCCTGCAGCTCTACAACTGCTACTTCCTCCTCGAGTACACCGTGGCGACCTGCGGCCACCCGGAGTACGAGTCCTACGACCACGGCTGCGAGAACTACGACCCGGCGACGACCTGGGTCTTCGACGACGACCCGGGCGCGGACGACGCCGCTCCCGTCGCCGCGGACGACGGCGAGCCCGCGGCCGACGACGGCGACGACCTCGTGGAGACCAACGGCTGCGTGACGACGCTCATGGGCTACGACTGCGTCGTCGGCTTCTGCGCCGTCGACGGCGATTACACGAAAACGTCGCCTTTGTACGAGATGACGAACACGGTCTACGGCTGCGCCACCGCCTGCGACGACGAGGCCGAGTGCACGGGCTTCGATTTCGACGGCACGACCTGCGTGTTAGCGACGGCGGGCCTCGACGGCGGCGCGGGCGAGGCCGCGTGGTGCTACGTCAACGCGCGGGCCGCGCGCGTCACGGAGGACGAGTCGAGCCGCGCGCGGCGGCCCGGACCCCCGTGGCCGGCGCTCCTCGGCGCGCTCCTCTTCTTTTAAGCGCGGCGCCCTAGGCCATGTTGTCGATGGCGAAGGGCGTGATGTCGTCGCCCGCGCACGCGAAGCCGAAGACCTTGGAATAGAAGTAGAGCTCGGAGTTGAGCGCGTCCTCGATGTTCTCGGCCTTGCGGAAGCCGTGCTGCTCGCCCTCGTAGACCTTGAGCTTGCAGGGGATGTTCTTCGCGAGGAGGGCCTCGTGCATGAGCTGCGCCTGGTTCAGCGGCACGATCTTGTCCTCGTCGCCCTGGAGCAGCAGGATGGGGCAGTTGAGCTTGTCGACGGCGTTGATGGGCGCGCGCGCCGCGTAGACGGCCTCGTCCGCCGGGTAGGCGCCGACGAGCGAGTCGAGGTAGCGGCTCTCGAACTTGTGCGTGTCGCCGGCGAGCGCCGCGAGGTCCGCGACGCCGTAGAGCGAGCAGCCCGCCGTGAAGACGTCCTTGAAGGCCAGCGCGCCGAGGGTCGTGAAGCCGCCGGCGGACCCGCCGTCGATGGCCAGCCGCTTCGCGTCCGCGAGGCCCTGGTCGACGAGGTACGTCGCGCCCGCGCAGACGTCGTCGATGTCGACGACGCCCCAGGACCCGCGGAGCCGGCGCCGGTACTCGCGGCCGTAGCCCGTGGACCCGCCGTAGTCCACGTCGAGCACGGCGAAGCCGCGGGACGTGAAGAACTGGATGCCCGGGTTGTAGTTCGGTCCCGTGCACGCCGTCGGCCCGCCGTGCGCCTTCACCAAGAGCGGCGGCGCGGCCTCGGACGAGGAGCAGTCCTTGTTCGCCGGCGCGTAGTAGTAGGCGTGCGCCGTGCCCAGCGGGCAGGGGAACTCCACGGGCTTCGGCACGGAGACGTAGCCCTCGGGCACCTCGGCCGAGCTCGAGCTCGCGAGCTTCTTCCCAACCTTCGTCGCCGGATCCCAGTGGAAGATGCCGCTCGGCGTGTCCGGCCCGCCGCCGAGCAGGTAGAGCGACCCGTCGGGCGCCGGGGCGACGCCGCCGAAGGCGTGCGGCAGGCCGTCGTCCTTGTCGTAGACGGCGGAGGAACCGTCCGGCGCCACGACGTGGAGCACCGTGCGCCCCGTGGCGCGGTCCGGGTAGGCCGCGGCGACGGCGCCGTCGGGCAGGAAGCTGTAGCCCTGCTGGCCGAAGACCCAGCCGGGCGCGGACCCGCCGAGGTCGACGCCGACGTCGAGGACCGTCGAGGACGATGTGCCGTCGAACTTCTTGAGCACGTAGGTGCCCGGCGCGTCGCTCACGTAGTAGAGCTCGGCGGTTTCGGGGTGCCAGGCGCACTGGAGGACCGACGTGTCGCCGTCGGCGCCGTCGACGAGGTCGTGGCCCTCCGTCGCCGGGGCCGCGCCGTCGACGGCCGCGAGCCGCAGCTCCGTGGCGTCCCAGGGCATGTTCGGGTGGTCCCACGTGACGTAGGCGACGCGGGACCCGTCGGGCGACAGGCGCGGCGCGCCGTAGAAGTCGCGGCCCGTCGCGAGGACCGTCGCCGCGCCGTCCTCCAGCGCGACCTTGACGACCTCGTTGACGACCTCGGACGGCTTGCGGTCGCCCGCGGGCCCGTGGTCCTCGCGCACGCCGACGACGAAGGCGCCCGAGGGGTCGACCGCGTAGTCCGCGTAGCGGTAGCGGCCTTCCGGGTCGCCGGCCGTGACGACGCGCGTCGCGCCGCCCTCCGTCGCGTGGAGCCGCTGCGTCCCAAAGTCGCTGAAGACGACGGCGCCGCCCGGGCCGAGGCAGAAGGCGCCGCCGCCGTACTCGTGGACGCGCGTGCGCACGTTCTTGTCCGCGTGGCGTGACGTCCACGGCCCCGCGCTCCGACGCGCCGGCCGCGCCGGCGTCGCGCCGCACGACGACGTTGCGGCCGCCCTCCTGCGGGCGCGACTCCTGCCACCAGAGGCCGCCGTCGCCGTCGCACTTGACGTTGCTCAGCCCGACGGAGCTCGACGTGATGAACTTGGCGGTGAAGGGGCTCGGCCAGGAGCCGTAGGGCAGGTCGCCGCCGCACCCGCCGAAGCTCGCCATGCGCACCTGGCTCCGAAGTGCGAGGCCTCGCTTCGCGAAGCTGAATAGTTTCATGCACGACGAGCGGCGCACAAGGACGGATGCACGCGCACCACACTCTGCGTCGACGGCGCTTCGAGATGGCGCTTCGGCCAGTGGCGAGCAGTGTAAGATCAGTGCATCTCCGACCTGCTTGAAGGGGCTGCTACGCGATGATGCGCGCCGTCTCTGTAATGCTCGGCGTCGCCTGCCTCGCTTCGCTCTGCGAGTGCGCGGACCGGCGTAGGCTCTGGAACACGATGGAAGAGGACCGGGCGACCGTCGAGAGCTGGGTCGAGGAAAACCGCAGGCAGCCGCAGCTGCCCTGGAGAATGAAACCAAAATTGGAGAAGTATTTTAACCAGCAGGTGACCCTGCCGCGGCGAATAAAGAAACCGAGCCCGGGGAAAGGACCGCCCGGCAAGCGGCGGCCGCCGTCCGACGACGACGACGACGACGACGACGACGACGACGAGCGCGACGCCAAGAAGGCCTCGAAAGGCGACGACGACAAGAAAGCGGCGGAAGACGACGACGACGACGACGACGACGACGACGACGACGACGACGACGACAAGCCGCGGCCCGCCGTCAAGCCCACGGCCAGGCAGAATCGGGCGCCGTCGGTGCTCCGGAAGCGCTTCAACAAGCTCCGAAAGGACCACGGCGGCGGCGACGACGACGACGACGAGACACCCGCGCCGCGGCCCGCGCCGAAGCGCCCGCGGAAGAAGGGGTCGCGGAAGACCAACAGCGAGCTCCGGCGGCGCTTCGCGCACCTCGGCAAGAAGGACGAGGAGGCGGAACTCCGGCGCCGCGCGTCGCTCCGCGGCGCCGGTGCCTCCCGCTAGTCTGCGAATTAGATGTCGTCGAGGCCCCGCTCCTTCTCCTCCGCGCGGACGATGTGCTGGCGCGCGGCCTCGAGGCGGTTCTTGTAGTTGATCGTGCGGCGCCGCTCCTCCATCTCCTCGAAGTCGGACTGGATGGCCTGGGAGAGGGGGTTGTAGGCGATCCACTCCTCGTGGGGCGCCGCGGCGGCGCCGACCTCGTTGGCCGCGTCGCCGAACGTGTTCGTCATGCCGACGACCTTGGCGTGCTCCGCCGTGAGCTTGCCCTTCTCCACGAGGTTCTCCAGCCGGAGCTTCCGGAGGCCGCGCCGCGCCTCCGTCGCGCCGTCGTTGAAGGGCTCGTGGTAGTCGTGGCGGATGGCGCGCTTCACGTGGTGCCGCTGCTGGCGGAAGACCTTCTCCTTCTTCCGCACGATCTCCTTCCGGAACGCGCGGTCGAGGTCGACGTGCTTCTGCCGCAGCCGCGCGTCCTTGGCGTACCTTTTCGTCTGCTTCTCCTGGAGCGTCGAGAGGAAGGGGTAGAGGGCCGACGTCTTGCCGAGCGTGTAGTAGAGGTTGCCGCTCCGCGCGAAGAGGTGCGCGCCCAAACTCCGCGGGAAGCCCATGAGCCAGTTGCCCTCGTACTTGTAGTTGAAGTCGAAGTCGGGGATGAGGGACGAGATGCGCTCGGACGCGAGGCTTTCGGCCTCCTTGGCCTCGGCCTCCTTCTTCGCCAGCGCCTCGATGGTCCGCGGCGTGAGGGGCCGGTCGGACTTGCGCTTCCTCCGCTTCTCGAAGTTCTTCTTGCCGTACTTCATGACGCCGTGGCCGCAGCGGTGGTTGAGGAAGAAGTAGCCCTCGTACTCCGTGCCGTCGGCGAAGACCTCGAAGCCGCGGCCGCTCTTCTGGCCGCTCCTGTAGCAGCCCTCGTAGGACTCGTCGCGTTTGTGGTTCCGGTACTTGCCTAACCCGTGGAACGCGCCGTGGTCGAAGCCGCCGCGGTACTCCTCGCCGATGACGGTCTGGAGGTAGCCCTCCTTGCCGTGCAGGATGCCGTCGATGAAGGTGCCCTCCAGGGTCTCGCCGACGGACGACTCGTAGCGGCCCCTGCCGGTCACGCGGCCCTCGGCGAACTCGCCCACGTAGATGGACCCGTCGGCGAAGGTGCGCCGCCCTTTGCCGTGGGGCACGCCGAACTCGTAGGGGTTGCCCTCCGGCAGCACCGACGGGCTCAACAGCTCGTGGCACCCGAAGTCGCCGTCGTACGCGTCGCCGCCCGCGTAGTCCATGCGGCCGCTGCCCCAGCGCATGCCGTGCTTGTACTTGCCCGTGTAGACGCCGGAGTCGGTGTACTCGACGCCGTGGCCGTGCTTCTTGCCGCCGTGGAACTGGCCGTGGTAGTACTCGAAGTTCGGGCCGTCGAAGGGCACCTGCTCCGATTGTATGGTCTTGTGGACGCCGAAGCCGTGCTCGACGCGCCGCACGCGCACGGACGCCATGTTCACGACGTAGGGGCTGTAGTCCGGCAGGTAGGGCTTCGACCCGTCGGGCACGTCGCCGCGGCCGCTCCACGGCGGCAGGAGCTCGCGGAATTTGCCCGTGTCCGCGTCGGCCTCGTGGCTCAGCGCGAGCTTGATGCCGTCCCAGTCCTGCTTGTTCGCGACCCACTGCTCGAGCTGCCAGGCCTCCTCGGTCATGAAGGACACGTACCAGGAGTTCGTGCCGTTGTTGTGGCCCGTCCAGTCCTTGTCCTGCGCCGTCGACGTGAGGACGATGGGCGTGCGGTCGCGGTCGCGGATGATCTCCTGGGCCTCGAGCTTCGCGTTCTCCAGCTTCGTCTCCAGCGACTCCTTGATGGCCAGGAACTCCTGGTACTTGATCTCGCGCTCCGCGTCCGCGGCGTCGCCGTCGAGCTCCTTGCCCGCGGCGTCGAAGAGCATCATGAAGGGCACGTCGGCCATGTTGACCTTGACCTCCTCGATCTCCTCGGCGATGACCTCGACGCGGCCGACGGCGTTCTGCACCTCGTCGTCCTCCTCCTGGATGCCGAACATGAGCCACTCGCGGATGTCCTCCGCCTTGACGTCGTGGCCGGTGCCGTCGTTCTGCACGGGCACCTGGTCGAGCACGAGCGCCAGGGACCCCTCGTAGGTGTCCTTGTCCGCGGCGTCGTCGATCTCGCGGATGGCGCGGGGCACGAGCTTGTAGTTCCGCGGCTTGCCCTGGCACTTGGATAGAGCTTCGTGCAGGTAGATGACCTCGTTCGTCTCGGTTTCCTGCATGTAGTCGATTAAAAAGGGCTTCTTCGACCGGAAGACGAAGTTCTGGATGGACCGCTCCTGGCACTTGCGCCGCGGCAGGCGGAACTTCTCGACCTCGCCGGACTCGTGCCAGACCTCGAACCTAATGAGCTCGCTGTGCCATGCCTCCTTGGCCTTGGCCTTGCGCTCCGCGGCCTTGGTCCCGCCCTGGATGTCCTTGGGGTCGATGTTGTGGCTCTTGAACGGGATCTCCACGCCCGACGCGGCCACATCGTCCTGCGGCGCCATGGCTTGGGGGCAGCGGCGCTGCCCAGCAGCGCGCGCGCTTCGAGTGTGTGGGGTGCAACGTGCCGGGCAACGACGGCCGCAACTTGAGCGGCCCGTCCCGCGCGCGTCGATGGATGGAGCTCGCGCGCGGTTGTTACGCGCGCGCCGCGCCCCCGACGCTCTCGCCTACTTCTTCCGGAAGAAGGAGCGGCCCGTGGCCGTCTTCATCTCCCTGCCCGCGGCCGGCTTGGGCACCGCGCGGTTGAGGATCTGGAGCCAGGAGTAGACCTTGCGGCGCATGCGCATGTGCTGGTTCGTCTTGGCGGCCTTGATGTGGTAGTGGAGGTAGTTGCGGAAGCCGACGCAGAGGCCGACGCGGTCCGCGAGCTTCTCGGGCGTGTCGACGTGCCGCTTGAAGACCGTGAGGGTCACGTAGCCGACGACGCTCGGCAGCTTCTTCCCGCCGAAGCCGAGGAAGCCCGACGTCGCGACGAGGTCGCGGATCTCGAGGGGCGGCGCCTTGGCCTCGGAGAAGGTCACCGGCGGCGCGCCGGGGACGCGCGTCTCCGCGAACTGCTGGAGCAGCACGCGGCCCATGGCGCGGTCCGTCTCCTCGGGGAAGTCGATGGCGTAGACGACGGCGACGCGGTCGTAGCTCGCGGGCTTCGCCGGGTCGTTGCCTGGGGGGACGGCGCGGTCGTCGGAGGGTTCGAGGCGCGAAGGTAAACGACGCGCGGCGGAAACGAAAAGACGGCGGGACGCGGCGGGACGCGCCGGCCATGACGTAGACCGCCTCGCCGCCCTCGCGCCAGGGCAGCGCCGCGACGGGCCCCTTGGTCGCGGTGCCCGCGGCGAGTTTCGCAAAGGCGTCGGCGAACGGAGCGCCGACGAGGTGGCGCTTGATGTCGATGAGCTTCGCGAGGAGCGCCGGCCGGTCCGCCGCCGCGACGGCGTCGCAGTCGACGCGCACGGCGACCTTGTAGCCCGGGTCGGGCGCCGCGACGTGGCCCGCGAAGATTTCGTCGAGCGCCGCCTGGCCGCCGAGCGACGACAGCTCGCGCCAGCACGGCAGGTCCACGTGCATGGTCACGACGCTCAGGGCCTCGGGCGCGCAGACGAGCTTGAAGCGGCAGCCGTCGAAGTCGCCGACCTGCGCGGCGCGCGCGTCTCGTATCCCGCGACGTGTCCCGACGGGCGTCGGGCCGCGCGCGGACGGGGCGACGACGGACGGGGCACTCGCTTCGGGGGGGCGTTCGCGGCGTCGTAGGCGGGGCGGGGGGGGCACGCACCGAGAGCTCCGTGGCCTCGCGCACGCCCTCGACGACGCGGGCGCCGAGCGCCTCCTCCATGATCATGTTGTGCCTGTGGAAAGCGTTTTTTGCGAGGGGGGGTTGGTAGCGGGCCTCGGCGCGGCGCCGCGCGTGTCCAGGCGCATGTTCACCGCGGCAGACGACATGGTTTCGTCGCTTCGCGTGCGCCCCGGCGTGCGGCTCCTTGTGGAGGATCTCGTCCAAAGCCGATCGCGAGTCCGGAGAGCGGCTGAAAATTTGACCTCGGGCGCCGTCGCCCGCCGCACGATGCTGTCGCGCCTCGCTTTCGTGTTGGCCGTCATCAGCATGCTTGCCCTCGGGAACGCCTGGTTCGGCTTCGGGGGCGGGGCGGAGCCGGCGAAGAAGGGCGACACGCCGGCGGCCGCCCCGAAGGTCATGCCGGAGGGCGACGACGACGACGACGACGACGAAGCCAGTGACGCGGCGGCCGCGGGCGACGACGACGACGACGACGAGGAAGACGACGACGACGACGACGACATCCCGACGAGCGGGCGCGGACCGGGCAAGTTCGAAGCCGCGGGCGACGACGACCTCGGCGACGACGACGACGTCACGGACGACGACGCCCAGGAGATTCCCGGCGAGGACGGCGAGGAGGACGATGACGACGACGACGACGAGTCGCAGGGCGAGCTCCGCCGCCGCCGCCTCCTCCGCGGCGCCGCCGCCGCGGGCAACTGAGCTCGACGCGTCCGAAACCCACGAGTCTTCGCGCGGCCCGCGGCGCCTGGACGCGTCCACCCGGAACGCGAGGCCGGCCCGCCGCCATGCTTAGACCCTGACACAAACATCCTTTCCCTCCCCACGGCCACGACGCGTCGTCGCGATCGGCGACGCGTCGCGCGTTGTTCAAAATACTAAAATTGCATCGTACTCGACGCCTGTGAGTCGAAGGGACCCCCCTCTTACGCATCACCGTCGCGCGTCGGCGCGTCGAGGAGCGGCGGGAGGTCCTCGAGCTCGTCCTCGCGCTTCGGCGTCGCGTCGAGCGCGTAGTCGAAGATGGCGATGACGACGACGGCCGCGCCCAGCGCGGTGCCGGCCGACAGCGGCGCGCCGAGGAGGAGCGCCTCCAACGCGATGGACACGACGACGCCGCCGGCCGTCGCCAGCGTCTTCAATATCGCGTCCGCGTACTTCAACGTCAGCGCGACCAGCAAACCGCCCGCCGCGCCGAGCGCGACGAGCGCGCCGGCCGCCGGCGAGAAGCCCCGGAAGCTCGGCGGCCCGCCGCCCTCGACGGCGATGACCGCGCCGTACAGGAGCAGCGAGTGGAGGCCCAGCTGGAAGTTGCGGTCGAAGATCGTGAGCCGCTTGCCCGAGGCCTTGATGACGCCCTCGAAGTAGGCGCTCGCGAAGCCGCTGAGCGTGACCTCGGTGAGCACGGCCGCGAGGCCGACCACGGCGACGCGGCGGTCCCCGGCGTCCTCCGCCGCGCCGCCGCCCCCGAGCGCGGAGCGCGACACGAGGATCGCGCCGACGGTCAGAGACGCGAGCGCGCGCCACTTCGCCGGCGAGAGCGCGCGCCGCAGGAAGACCGCGGAGCAGCCCGCCGTGGAGAGGATCTTCAGCTGCGCGCAGACCGTGAACGTCGACGCGTCGACGCGGCGGAGCGCGGCGAACGACAACAGGTTCATCGTCGCGTAGACAATCGCGAGGAAGAGCATCTGCCGCGAGTCCCTCACGAGCGCGGCGAGCGTCGCGAGCGGGTTCGCCTCGCCGCGGCAGGCGACGGCGCCGGCGACGGCGGTCTTCGCGACCTCGGCCAGGACGAGCACCTCGGCGTAACTATAATTCTCGTGGAGCACGCCCTGGCTGTATCTGCGCAGGAGCGTGTAGGCCACGTTCTGGAAGAGCATGGCCGCCAGCACGGCGATCCGCGCCGTCGCCGGCTTCGGGTCGTCCATGGTAAAGCGCGTGGGGGTTGTGAACGCCTGTAAAACCAATCGAACGAGACGGGCGAGTCGAAGCGTCGGGCGAGTCGTCAAGCGTGTGAAGGCGTCGAGCGAGTCGTCGTGCGTGTGAACGCTGGTACCGATCGACCGAGACGGGCGAGTCGTCGCACGTCGTGCGTGTGAACGCCTCTCCCGACCACTTGCCAGTGAGGTGAAAAAAAACGACCTCCGCCGTCGACCCCGCCAGTCGCGGCACTCCCGCGCGAGAGACACACAAAGCAAAAGTACGCGCCGTGTCTCAGGCGGTGTCGAAGGCGCGGACGCAGGCCTCGTAGCCGCCGAAGCAGGCCGCGTTCGCCGGGACCGCGCGGAGGAAGGTGGCCTGCGTGCCGCGGAACACGCCGCGGAGGCCGTCCGCGGCGAGGACCTCCGCGGCGACGGGCCGCCGCCCGAGGAAGGCGCCCGTGTAGGTCGGGTCGACCTGGTAGCGCGTCTTGAGGAAGTCGAGCGGGATCGCGGGCACCTAGCGCGTTCCCGGTGGACGGATCTCCGAAAAAACGTCGGGACGCCGTCGGAAGGACCCAGTTCATGACGCCCGCGGCGGCGCCCGCGGCGAAGACGCCGAGGAAGGACGCGCGGCCGTCGTCGCCGCGGAAGGCCGGCACCCGCGCGAGCTCGCGCTTCGTCCAGACGTAGGTCGCGAAGTAGACCGCCGAAGCCGCGGCGTCGCGAGCGAGCGTCACAGAGAAGCCCCGCGAGAGCGCGGCGAGGCCGCCCGACGCCCAGAGTTCGCCAAAGGCCGCGCGCACGGTGACGCGCCCCGTCGCCTGCTGCATGCGGCACTTGAGCAGCTCCTGCGGCGCCTGGACCGGCGTCGTGTACAGCGCCGAGAACGCGCCGGCCAGCGCCGCCTCGCGCACGGACGGCGCGCCCCCGGAGCCCAGGAGGCGCTTGCCGTGCTCGTAGCCGCTGAAGCAGAGGGCGAAGACGGCGGACGTCGCGCCGAGGGGCATGATCATGCCCTTGTAGAGCGCCAGGGGGCCCTCGGCGCGCGACGTGCGGATGACGCAGTGCAGCGCGGACCGGTAGCCGTCGGACGCCTGCATGCGCACCTTCACCGTGTCCAGCGGGTGGCCGACGACGACCATGGAGGCGCCGCCGGCGCCGCCGGCGACCAGCTCGCGCAGCGATCCCCCCATACGTAACTTGCGCCTGCTGTGTTCTTGCAGTGAATTACGGTGCTCGTTGAAGCTTCTCAAAACACACGATGGCGATCGCATCGAGGATCCTCGGCCGCCGGTGCCTCCATGCGTCGGCCGTCCGGCGCATGCCGCAGCACACGATGAACCGGGGCCCCGTCATCGTCACCTGCGCCGTCACGGGCTCCGGCGACACGGCGTCGATGCACCCGGGGCTGCCCAAGAGCCCCAAGGAGATCGCCGACGCCTGCATCGAGGCCGGCGAGGCCGGCGCGGCCATCGCCCACCTCCACGTCCGCGAGCCCGAGAGCGGCGACTGCTCGCGGAACCTGGACTACTACCGCGAGGTCGTGGCGCGCGTCCGCGAGTCGTCGAGCGACGTGATTCTGAACGTGACGTGCGGCATGGGCGGCGACTGCTTCTACGAGATCGCCGAGGACCCCGAGGACGGCACGCTCACGTCCGTGGGCAAATCGACGGACCTCGTCGGCGTGGACCAGCGGCTCGCGCACATCGAGGAGCTCAAGCCCGAGATCTGCTCGCTCGACTGCGGCTCGCTGAATTTTGGGACGGGCGCCTACGTGTCGACGCTGCCCATGCTCCGCGAGATGGCGGCGCGCATCACGGCGGCGGGCGTCAAGCCCGAGCTCGAGTGCTTCGAGATCGGCCACGTGGCCCTCGCGACGCGGCTCCACGAAGAGGGCCTCCTCGACGACCCGCCGTTCTATCAATTCGCGCTGGGCATCCCCTGGGGCGCGACGGCGGACGCGGCGAGCGTCCAGGCCATGGTGCCCCTCGTGGCGCCGGGCGCGAACTGGGCCGCCTTCGGCATCTCGCGCAACCAGATGCCCATGGTCGCGCAGTCGCTCCTCCTCGGCGGCCACGTCCGCGTGGGGCTCGAGGACAACCTCTACCTCGAGAAGGGCGTCCTCGCGACGAACGGCGAGCTCGTCACGAAAGCCCTGCGGCTCATGGGCGACCTGGGCGCCGCGCCGGCGACGACGGCGGAGGCGCGCGCGATCCTCGGCCTCCGCGGGACGCAGTAGGCGCTCGTTTCCGGGTCTAAACCACCGGCCGGCGGACGCTTACTTGCGTCCCTAGAGCGCGGCGGACTCCTTCGTGAGGCTCGGGCGCCGCTTGCTGTTGGCGCTGGCCTTGAGCGCGCGGTACCAGTGCTCGTAGCGCGAGATGATCGCGTCCTTCTTCCGGCCCGCGTCGCGCTCCGCGCCGAGGCGCGCGCGCAATTGGCGGTTCTCCGCCTCGAGGTCCACGGCGGACTTGGGCGGGTCCGGGTCGCCCGGCCGCGTCGCGTTCGCCGGGTTCGCCGGCGACGGGTAGTCGCG